ATCAATAATCTATTGAGCTAACAGTGTTTGTAGTAACATCTGTCCACAACCACCACCTGTAGACAATTGTAATTTTACCAGCAACTCCCCAAAATAAACACGGCAAACCACCCAGAAAAGTTAATGGTGACTTCAACAGCCACAGTATCCAGTGGGGCGTACCGCTGCGAATGAAAAGGATGGAGAAGCATAGAGAGGATGATATAACCAACTAAGTCTAGATCCATGACCCCAAGCTACCAGCGAGACTCGTTTTTCAGTGCTCCTGGAAACGAGGCTTACAACCAGATCTCACCAATGGTCACAAGTAACATCGCTTGGACTGATGTAAAAAGACGTTGACTACAACTATTCCATCAAGCAAACACACGATACCCCATTTGGGATCCTAATCCCTCGCGGACTGCAGTCCAACCATTTCGACCCTCTTTTAAGGCGCTTAACACAACGAAAAGACAACTGAAAAGTTCACACAAACGTGCTGGAAAGAAGAATCACAACATAATACCGCAGTTAGCACACGGAACTCGACCCAAATTTACTAACCATGGTGCTGAAACTGGTCGGAACATATCTCCATCGAGAGGCATGTCAGAAAAGATATGAATATAAAAAAAAATACCAAAAAGGGACTTTTACCAAAGAGACTGTGCAACTCTATGACAACTACTGACATAGATTAAAGCAGATCCCTTCTCAGATGAAACAACTACCACGGCAGAGTATATGGAACATTGCAAGAGCGAGCACGACCTGAGCTCTTATAGCATCCACAGACAGTCAAAAACGCAAGACATAAAACACTTAAATAATAAAACAAAGGAAAACAGATGAACACCTAGGAAGCCAGCTCCTCCCCCGCCGCACAAAATCACGCAAACAACACAACCAGTTGCCCCCCAACGTTGCCGAAATGAACGAGTAAAGAGAGAGGGAAAAAAAGAACACAAAGCTGAAACAGCAACAAATACAGAGACGAGAAAGGAGAGACCCTACATATATAACAAGAACAGCTCACTATAAGGAAAAAGCGGCAGGGGGAATCTCTATCCTCAAACCAGGAAACGGCCAATTGGCACTGGGATAATATCAAAAAAAACGAGAAGAACAGAAATCAAGACACATAATCGGAATCACAGGCAAAGCGTGGACTCCTACAGCTCTAGCAATAATGCTTTAAGCAACACACCAAGCATCACCAAAATATATAACATCTGGAAGAAGCCCACATTATACACGTGAAATAGAAACTGGAAAAAAAACACAATAAAAAAACGCTCCCAAAGAATATCAGACAATCTCACAAAATGAGCCACAACTACAAACTCACACAATATAATAAACTCGATACATACACGATGGTGCAATTATAGAATTATAGACACAAATCATCACACATATAACAAAACAATATTCCGCCCTGGAAGTCAACAACTAGCCAAGTACTCACCTCACCCAGTACATCGAAAGACGGATATGAAGAAGGATGGTAATGGTGGCGGTGCTTTGTCAAGAAAAAAACAAACACAAAAAAAAAATCAGTCTGCCTATGACACAGTCAACCACAGTCTCCTCAGTAAGATCCTGAGACCACAAGAGACCACCGCCTGACAGAGCTGATTTGAAAGCAGCTTGAAAATAGGCACTCTTCGTATTGAGCTAGGACGAGAAAAGAAAAGCAGGTGGCGAAGACTCAGGAATGCGCCAAAAAACACACCAACCACACAAAGAGAAAGTGCTTGCAACCGCACACAAATAACGATCTACACCAAACGACCAACAAAAAGGTAGACAACCCCGCCGCTCATCCAACATAGACGAGGAAAACAGTATAAACTAAAGAAAAAAAATAACACCAAGCCACTGATTTCAAACAGAGAAAGAAAAACATACTCACATAACGCTCTGGCGAGCTAACACCTACTATGAAACCAACAAAACACAAAAAAAAAACAACACACATCTAAGACACAGGTGTGTGCCCTTCCACCTGAGAAACCGTGAAGCCAAGCGCCAAAATGAAGAAGAGAAACATCAGAAGAACTCCTTATATAGGAACAACAACACTAGAGAAGCCCACAGTCTACTAAAAAAAGAAGAGGAGAGAGAAATAATCACAAAGGAACATGCCTATCTTTAAGACCACAACTGAAAACAGAACCAAAAAAAGATGAGAGAACAAGAAATATATTCCATAAAACACAACACACAGAGACACGACTGGGGTGACAACCCAAAAACAGAACAAATAAAGGAACAACACAAGACCACAACAACATAACTTAAAAACAAACCTACGATAAGACTGACCCAGCAATAGACGAAAGCTGCCCATCCTAAGACTGGATCAAACAACACACACACAAAGACAAAAAAAAAACAATTAACAAGAGACATAGACCATAGAAAAAACACATATACAGACAGTCTTAGATAAATATCACAACTGAAACAATACCCACAAGCAAGCAAAGCAAAAAAGCGCCAACAACAGTCTACTGACAAAGACATCCTCAATAATATATAACAATGAAACACACAACCGCTTAAAATCAGGAAGTTTCCTGAAAAAGACGACACAACAACAAACACAACCACAAAAAACAAACGAAAAACAACAAATCACAACCAGAAGAAAGAAACTACACAACAAATACACACATCAGCAACAACAATGGGCCAAAGGCAGCGAGGCACTGCCAAAGGAATACAAAACAACACACCTAACAACATACAAAATTCGACAACAAATGTAAATATTGTGATATAGCAAACAAGCCAAAAAAAATGGGGGATACTAAATGACGGGGACGTTGTGTGTGACTGCGGCGTTGAACCACAAACCATAAAAAAAAAAAAAAAAAACACAAAAAAAAAAATCAATGAAAACAAAAACCTGCTTAGGAGCAACAAAACATAGAGAACAACAATACAGATTGGCAAAAAGAATTGAGAACAACAAAGAAGGGAAGCAATGTGTTCAGCTGGTGGTCTGAACCACATCGTAACCAAGCCCTGTAACTGACTGCCTAGTGGAAGACGATAAGAAGAAAGAAGTAAGCTTATCATCATTTGACACAATGAACCTATTTTTCACAATCATTCAACCGTGGACCCTCTTCTCCAGCCCATTGCCACCCTGCCCTATTGTGACGCAGGGCAGTGTGAGAGCCCGACTGCTGCGGGCCGGGACTGGGGAAAGTAAGAGTTGATTAAAACAAAGCTGCCAGCATAAGTGAATCATGTATCATGTCAGCCCACAACGTTTTAGCTCCCTAATTCTTCTTCTCACGCAGCCTGTCTCCCAAGCTTGGCCTTTGAAGTTTGAGATCCCACAAAATCCCCCCTCCACCACTCCATACGATTCACTCATCCCCCACTCCATACGATTCACTCCCCCGCCTCATCCATCCGTCCATTCTCCATCATCTTCATCCAATGTGTTCCTCTGTCCGTCCCCGGGCCCCGAGCGCTCCTTCGTCTTTAATCTCTCCTCTCACCCCGTCCGTCCCGACCTCCAGCGCTCCTTCTGCCCCCACTCTATCCGTCCGTCCCTCTCATGCTGCTTTCCTGCCATCATTAGGCGTGTTGCCCTGCTCCCTTCCCCTCCCCTATCAGCTGGATGCGTAGCTGAGAGTTGCTTTGCTAATGGCACTCCAAGGGAGCGCAGAGATAATACTGTTGGCTTTAATTAAATACATTAAAGGGCTGGGAAGATACAGAGCCCCCGGGATGATGTGTTCCTCCCTCACACCTCCCAAAATACCTCTCTTGTCTCCCTCCATCACTTTTCCTTCTCTTCCCTTTCTTCTTCTCCTGAATCACCATTTCTCCCCCTTACCGTACGCCTACTCTCACTCTCACTTACTTCCTGTTTTCTAGTTCTTATGATTATTTATTTCTCTTACTTTGTGACGAAGAAAAAAGCCTGCACGTTTTTCTTTCCCTGGCACCCAGAGACTTGAGAACACCTTTATTAGTTTTTATGCCTGGAACTTTGTTTACCATTAATTAGTTTTCTCTGTGAGTTTGATTTACATAACAAGACTTTTGCAGGGTTGCAGGAACCTGAGATGCTTTGTGTTCCTCCTATGATGGGGGAGGCGAGCACTTATAAGTTAAATGTATATACTGAAGGGAAGGACGAGGGCAGATTTTAAAACAGATTGTGTGTGCACCCGTTTTGTGTGCATTTCCTCAACCTGCTTATAAACCAGACAACCACTTTTACTCTACCAAATTAGCCTCGTTGATTAAAACCGGGGACATTGCAGAAATATGGTACACGTCTAGACCTCTAAAATGCCACCCTCAACACCAGGTGAAGGTGCATGCACAAAGCAGCACAGATATGTGAAAGAACATAATGGGGAAAAAATCAATATGTTTTGCAGGTGACAATGTTAGGGTGAGTGGCAATGAACAAGTGCAAAAGAACAAAGTGGAAATATCAGATTCAGACATCAGAATCAGATATAGAAGCTTACTGCAGCATGCAAACAGCTTTCATTTGGAGTGCAGAGCAGAGCATGTAAATTAACCAAATGACGGAGCCCAGCAAAAGCATTTCATTGTGCTTGTGTGCATGCTTGAGTTGGGTTTGTGACTGAATGCCCACTTGTTAATACAAGCACAAACAAAAACTCTAAGGGGGTTGCATTTATAACTGGTGCAATGCTGGACACAAACCAACACACACGAGCACACGCACACACAGAGCACCTTGCCAGGGAAATTGTGCTCTTCAAGGCGTTGATTAGTCTGCCTGGTGGTGCCTCCCTGCATCTCCATTTAGTCATATTAAAGGCACATCTGCTCTCTATAAACTGGCTGTTTATATCCCCATCATCCACAATGCACACACACACAAACCTGACCTGAAAGCAAGCACGTATGCACGTATGCACATATGCACGTTGTCTGCACACACACAGACATTCTCATATTCATGTCACACACACACACACACACACACACACACACACACACACACACACACACACACACACACACACACACACACACACACACACACACACAGACACACACGACACACACACGACACGACACACACACACACTCACACTACCACACACACACACACACACACACACACACACACACACACACACACACACACACACACACACACACACACACACACACACACACACACACGACACGACCACTACCACT